GATCTCTATAGTTTTACTAGATATATCTATAGTAAATAGTATGATATAGTCTAGAAAAATAGATGCTAGGACTCGTATAGAGTACAATTTACTATACTAAATAGTATAATAGTAATTACTATAGTAATAGTAATATTACTATAGTAATTACTATTACTATTACTATTACTATTACTATAGAATTCTCTGTAGGATTACTATTACTATTACTATTACTATTGCTAATTTGACTTTACTATTTACTATTTACTATTACTATTACAATTACTAAGGTTTTTACATCTCTACTATAAGCCTATAATCGACGCGACTAAAGCGGCACCGTAGCTGCGCATTAAGACGGTATAAGGCGGAAGCTTCGCTAGGACCTTAGAGGCACGCGGAGCCGCCTATAAGCATCTATAATTAGTCTTCTCTTTATCTAGATAGGGAGAATGCATTAGAACTACATATAGTCTAATTAAGCGAGATAGCAGGCCGGGCTATCCCTAACCTTGCAACTATTAACTCATAGTAGATCCTTTACAATTTTTTGATCTGTAACCCTAGATATCAGTTGCCTAGCAAAAAGCTATACACCCTCTGTCAAGAACCGACTAGTAGCGTCCGCCACCCGATTAGTAGATTTGAACTTAATACAGGCATAATCCGCTTCCTCCATTGGATAAAACAGCATTCGCAGGGCTCGGCGGTACTTCCTCAGGGTATAATAATACTGCCGGAACTTTGAAAGAGGGTGTAGACGGTTAGCGTTCAAGGGCCAGCATAGCCCAGCCTGCTATCCCGCTCAATTCGACATTATTTGACTTCACGCACCTTCACGCAGAGCAACTCACAGCAACCCTTAAGCTTGGCCAGGCAAAGGTGACAAGCCCTGTTAGATGATCACCAATCTTGCCGTTCAAGCTTATCAACTTTCTCAAGCCAACCCGGCATCTTGCTGACCATGTGTGATTGACCATGTCATCAACCTGTGGTCCAGATTGGCCCAAATGAAAGAAAGTTGTAGCGCGGCACTTCGCGGGACAGCGGACACGCGAATGAACACCACGGCGAGCAGGCATTCAAATGATAAGCTCCGCAAGGCGATCCTGAAGCCTCGCATGGTGGTGATGGAAAAAGGCGGCTGATCCCATTTAGCCACAGTTGGTCAAAATGACCATGCTTTCTAATCTGCCATAATAAGAGCACGAGCACCATCACCGTCTCTCCTCGAAACAAGCATTGCCAACGTCGATCATTTTTGCTAGATCTGAGGTATCGCGAAACGAGCCACGATGTTATCTCATGAGGTAGCTCAGCCGCCGGCGGCCTACTATAGTGGCTCCCCGAAGTATATGGAGGATGATGCGCATAAAGGACACCACGATGAGAAGGGCGGAAGCTCAATGGACAATTCGGACGTGGAGGGCGGGAATCAACTGAAGCGCGAGTTGAGAGGTCGTCACATGCAAATGATCGCCATAGGCGGTGCAATTGGAGCTGGTCTCTTCGTTGGTTCTGGCTCAGCACTGCAAGCTGGTGGTCCGGCTTCTCTCGTCCTGGGCTTCATTGTGAGTATGCACGGAAACAGGTGAACAGAAGTGTGCTGACGTTCTTGGAGATTATTGGTGGTATGCTGCTTCTCACCATGCAAGCTTTAGCTGAGATGGCCGTGCTCTTTCCCGTCAATGGTAAGGCCCTTGGAGCATTAAATGACGCAGTGGCTGTAATCATACTGATCTCAAATATTAGGAGCATTCTTTACCTACGCCGTTCGATTCATCGATCCTTCCTGGGGCTTCGCAATCGGCTGGGACTATGCAATAGGATGGCTGGTGATCTTGCCATTCGAGATCACAGCGGCTAGCTTGACGATAAAATTCTGGGACTCGGCAAAGGACATCAATATTGCCGTCTGGATAACCGTCTTCCTGGTAGCCCTGTCAGCCGTGCAGATATTCGGCATTCGTGGCTATGGTGAAGTCGAATTCGTCCTGAGCATCATCAAAGTCCTGGCTTGCACCGGGTTCATCATCCTTGGTATCATTATCGATTGCGGAGGTGTGCCTACCGATCATCGAGGCTACTTAGGTGCTCGCTACTGGCATCACCCGGGTGCGTTCCGTCATGGTTTCAAAGGTTTCTGCTCCGTCTTTGTGACAGCCGCATTCGCTTTTGGCGGCACGGAGCTCAGTGGCCTTGCGGCTGCAGAGGCGAAGAATCCCTTGAAGTCTATCCCACAAGCGACAAAACAGGTCTTCTGGCGCATAGCGTAAGTGTTCCATCATCTTGCTTCGAATGCAGATCCTGCTAAGACTGTCGCAGCTTCTTCTACGTTGTATGTCTCTTCATACTTGGTCTGGTCGTACCATCGGACTCAGATGTGCTCTTGAACTCTCATGGCGCCAATACTAAAGCATCGCCATTCGTCTACGCAATGGTTCTTGCCGGTATCAAAGGTTTACCTTCAGTATTCAATGTGGTGATCTGCCTCTCGGTGCTGTCGGTTGCAAATAGCAGCGCATTTGGAAGCACAAGGACCATGCAAGCCCTGGCAGCTCACGGCATGGGACCTCAAGCTCTTGCCTACATTGACAAGCGTGGCCGTCCACTGTGGTGCGTGCTGATTCAGCTCTCATTCGGACTCCTGGCCTTCGTGAACGAGGCCACAAGTGGGGGGCCGGAGTTCTTCAACTGGCTCTTGGCCTTGACAGGACTGGCAAACTTCTTCATCTGGGCTACCATCTGTCTCAGTCATGTACGATTCCGAGCTGGCTGGATTGCGCAAGGCAGATCGATCGAGGAGATCCCTTACAAGGCCTTCTTCGGCGTTTGGGGTTCGTATATTGGCATTGCGATGAACATCATCTGTCTCATTGCCTGTTTCTATGTTGCTCTGTGGCCGATTGGGGGCTCGCCGAATGCTAAAGACTTTTTCGAATCCTACCTGGCTGCTCCGCTTATTCTGACCATGTATATATGCTGGAAAGTGTGGACTAGGGACTGGAAGCTCTTCATCCGAGCCGCCGAAATGGACGTGACCAGTGGTATGCGACAAAACCTGACAGAGCTGCGAGAACTGGCAGAGGAGAGGCAGAGAACCCTTGGCCTGGCTAGCTGGCCGAGGCGCATTGTCAGGGCTCTTTTCTAATGGAATCAACTTCCAGATTGATAATTTTAGAACGCGATAATATTCCGTGTCACGCTGCTCTCATTTGCTGCAAAAGACCACATTCCAGTTCACAAGCGAAGTTGGGCCTTGCGCAGGCGAATGAAGCGCTCAAGTCCATGCACCTCTTCACAAGACCGCACTGGATGTCAACGGAAGGTGCTGACTATGAAATTTTGACTGCCTCTGCGCCTCTTGAATTGCTCGTCCAGAAAGCTGCCAAGAACCCGCAAACAGCCCGAGAATTGTGCTCGTGAGTGACGTGCTTAGTTTGAAACGAGGTTCGCTAACGTCTGCCACATCATGGCCTCTGCCGGCAGTCGAGTCGCTCATCTCGCGGAGCTCCTCGAAAATATCCCATTGCAGCTCTGCTTAGATGATGTATCAGGTTTCAAGCCAGCCACTGCCAGCCAGAGCGTGTGTCGTGTTTTCGGCGACACCATTGCCGGCTTGCGTCACCTTCAACAGGCTTTGCTACTCCCTCCTCCAGGTCCAAAGTCTCCATCGATACTAAATCCTATCCTGCGCCAGCTCTTGCATCAATCTATAGCAGTGCAATGAATGCCTTTTCACACCCAAGGTCACCTCACTGAAGGACGAGCACTTGAGACTCAGTGTGCGGGTCTATGTTCTCTCCGAGAATATCGTACTCTCCAGGTTCTCGTGGAGGATAGTGTATTTTCATGGAGAGCCATACGTTGTCTCAGGCTGTCGTGAGCCGAAGCTGGATCCAGGAGGAATTGGAAGGTCGGAGAACTGAACTCTGGGAGAAATCGTTGATCGTGCATGTGGCATTGACGAGCCAGCTGAAGAAGCAAACAATTCGAAGTCCAGACGACAGGATTCTCGATGCGTTGATCTTGCCAAGGGCAGAGGTCGGAGGAGATGATAGTGGAGCTGACTCGGGCAGAGGTCGTTATTTATATCCTGCGTCTGTATCGCTATTCGCGACTCTCGACCAGGCGGGCTAGAGAGGTCAGAGATTATGGTTGCAAAATCCTGGAGGATTCATTGCTGAAAGGAATTCGAGGTGACCATATGGTGAATGGCCGGCATGACTGCGATCAACCTCCAGGGTATTGGTTTCTGGCATTCAGTCTGCTTCAGACTTCATGCACCGATAGCAGGCTTGAAGCGTCCCATTCGCATGTCTTGGAAACAGCAATAGATCAGTAGAGCACCTCATGTCCAGAGTCGTCAACTCCTAGGACAATCATGACTCTGCTAGGAAACTGGTACGGCTCAGCTCTCACTTTTGCACCTGAGCCTGCGTACTCAGAAATAAGACGCAAGCCGCCACAATCGCAACAGCCTGTAATCAGAGTCAGCTTGCCCAACTGTACAAATCCTTCACCACGCGGCGAAATTTACCACGACAGTAAACACAACCTGCGTTCCCCATCCACTTTGCACGAGCGCCTGTCGTCGACTGTACCGGTTCACGGTCTTGACATAATTATTCAGACCTGCATCACTCATCAGCTTTACCGCCCTCTCCCTCGCCACATTTTCTACTCACCACTTCCCATGCAACCAAGCGCAAGCAGCCAAAACACAATTCCGAAAGGCAAGGCCACCTTTCTTTCCAGCTCCGTCGGCTGGTGTTTGAGATGGAAACTGATTAGGATCGCCACAGAAACCACAGCCATATAAATTGATAAACGTAACCATGACAGAAAAGTCCGTTCTGCAGCACAATGGTCACGGGCATCGGAATCGTTGTTGTCGAAGAGGAGAGGTCCCAGAAAGGGTCGCTGGGAGAAGGCTGGAGGCCTGGTATCGTTGCTTCTATGATAGAATGAGTTTAGGGGAGATTATGGATTGGGAGGATTCATAGGTACTGGTGGACGAGAACCGGTTTGCGGTGGAAGGGATTGTACAGAAGATTGTAAGGTTCGTGGAGGAGGGCGCGGTCTGCGGAGGAGATTGAGAGGGAACGTGAGGAGGCCATGGTTTTGATAGCATCTACAATTCGATGACCTACGCTATGCATCGTGGTTGTTTGATGGCATAGGTGTTGTCGATGTTGTGTTGCGATGATGAGATGGATGAGGTGCACATGACCGGTCGTGCACTATGTGTCCCTCAATGCGTATATCTCAGCATGCATGTGTGCGCCAAGCCAGACCTGGTTCTATTCTATCGAACGACTTCCCCTGTTGCAATTTCACATTGCACTCTCGAAACAAACAACCTGAGCCACATCTTCGCAGAAGCTGCCCATGAGCACTGAAAGACTTTGAAGGAGCGCGATGCACCTGTCCCTCACCTCGGTGGCGGCTTTTGCCGTTGTCATTGCTTCACTCTACTTTGCAATCCCATTGATCCTTGCCGAAGTCTTCCCGTGGAAGCTGCTTTGGGCCCAGCGAAATGCCCGAACAACAGTGAAAGCTAGTTCATACAGCGGCAAGACTGTTCTCATCACAGGAGCAAATGGCGCCTACGGATCTAGAGCCGCAAGGAATTTTGCTGAGCGAGACGTGGAAACATTGGTCCTGGTCGATGCTAGGGACTGCACCGAATTAAAGGAAAAGCTCGAGGCAGAATTGAAGTCGCAAGGGAAACAAGCCCCCAATATCTTGGTCTGGCAGGTCAACATGATGACTTTTGATGGATGCAAGCAATTGAGAGAAAAGGCTCAATCCCTGCCCTACATTGACCACGTCTTGTCAACAATGGGTATTCTCTCTTTCGACCGGAAGGAGTCGCCGGAAGGATGGGAAACCTGTAAGGCATTGTCACCCCTCTTTCGGACTTACTACTGCTCACAAAAGAATAGCCATTCAGGTCAACTACCTTTCCAATGCTCTCCTGGGACTGCTTCTTCTCCCGCTACTCAAGTCATCTCCATCCAACCCAAACCCACCAGTCTTGACATATGTTTCCTCATTCGGCGTCTACCCCTCATGGCCCACAATGTGGTCCTTCCCGAAGTCTGGATCCTTCCTGAAATTCCTCAGCAACAATCAGAATGGCATGGCGCAGAAGAACCAATACGGTCGCTCGAAGACCTTGCTCGTCTACTTCATGCGCGAGCTAGCCGCAAAGCTTTCGAAGACCGAAGGACTTGCCCAAATCACTGTGAACTGTACAGATCCTGGAACCGCTTGGACTCCACTCTCCAATATCAACAGAGACATGTTCATCACCAGAGTCATCACAGACTTTGGCGCCAGAGATACTCAGTATGGTGCAAATACGCTAACCAATGGCGTGTCTGAGGGTCCTGAGAGCCATGGCAAGATTGTGATGGATTTTGGATATGGAAGGTGAGTCCCTAAGGGGCCAAAGAGGTAGAAACTTGATCACGCTGACCTCGGCAATAGCTTTCCCCCATGGATGTTGAGACCGAATGGAAAAGCACAACAGGAGAGAGTGTGGCAAGAGACCAAAGAAGAGTTCGTGGCCAAAGTACCTGAAGTCATGGCTGTGTATGAGATGTTGGATGGCAAGTGAGATCTGTCATTCTCGTCCACTCAGCAGCGTAATCCTCGAGTTTTCGTTCACACCAGAGGCTTTAATTCTATCAAGGCAATGGTAGCAAGATGCCTGGAGGCAAAGCCTGTCACCCCAAAGTAGTAATTCACTCTTAGAAGTAACATTCTCCATATCATTCTTGAGAGGGGAGCTTACTCTGAGCCAGAATTCCCCTCAGCATCTTTACCGTCCAACCTGCTCCGACTAGAGAGGTCGTTGGCGGACAGCTAAAAAATTGGCATCGGATCCCACTTCTTAGCTGGCAAGCCCATTTATTTGTGGTGACTGGTACAGGTCGCTCCGACGGCGAGTAATTTGTCTGGGTATGGGATAGGTTTTTCGAAGGTGGCTTCAGACATGGGTATTGCTGTAGCTTCGACTGGCGATTCTATGAGGATCTGGAGGAGAGGAAGATTGGGTTGCTCACTACCACGACTCTACGCTCTCCCCTTGCGACTCGGTCTAGCATTCTTTTCCTTCCTCCTCTCCTTCAACCTCCTCAGCTTCCTCACATCCTCCACTCCTCGCAGCTCACTCTTGCCCTTACCATCAGCAAACTGACCCACCCTCTTCTCCTTCGCCTCATCAACCCTCTTCTTCCGTTTGTAATAATCATCACGGTACTTATCGGCCTGCTTCGGTGCCTTCTCCTGCTTGTGCTTGTACCTCTTACCGCCATTTTGCGCGAAATGTGCATTACTCTTCTCCTGCTCGCCCACACGCGGCAACCGCTCAACACGATTCGCCTTCTTCCAAGCATCAAAACGGCCAGATTTGAAAGATGCTGCAATTTTTTGGCCACTTTCGCCGCGGATCATGCGAGCACCTTTAGAACCATCCTCGTCGTTCGCTTTCTGGACGTACTTCTTTGACTTTTTGTCCCAACGCAGGCCTTTACTGCGTGATGCTTCCTTCAAGCCAGAGTCTTCGTCGTTTGTAAGATCCATAGTGGCACCTCTAGCTTGCTCAAGGAAATGTGAATTTGCATTCGTACCGCCAGAGTGGACACCGTAACCACGATCTTCGGCCATGTTGATCGTTGAGGGAGTGTAGGACATGAAGAAATCGGAGTCTTGCCCGGTATCGTTCTTCCTCTTCTTCCTACCACTTGCTTGCGGTCCATCGGATGCAGTAAAAGTGAGCTCAATCTCATCGTCCGACGCCTCCTCCATGTCAGCACCATTGGGCTGTGTCAGGACCAGCTCATCTTCGTCCTCGCTCACTTCCGCCTCTGCATCTCGACCGGTCATGTTAACCGTCTCCTCTTCCTCTTCACTATCGTTTGCGTCCTTTTTGCTGAACTTTGGCTCGATCTTTGCCCGCCTCTTCCTCATCACTTCGGCAGCTTCAGTCAGCTTCCCTCGCTGACCAACCTCGAAGACGGTCTCTGCCGGTCTGAAGCCGGACACTTTGGCCAGCATATCTAGCCGTCTCTGCTCTTCGTCCGCGGCAGTCTGGTCGATCTCCTCAAACAGTATGTTTGTGGCCGTCGTATCGCCGCTTTGTGCCAAGGTCTTCGCTCGCTTCACGCTTTCTGCAGATGCGGCATTCCTAGTGCGCAGGTATTGTTTCTCGCCCTTCGCAGCCACATCTCGCATCGCAGAAAGGTCGTCATCTTCTTCGATGAGCTTGGCACTCTCTTCCATAAGTGGTTCGAGCTTATCGCGACGAAGAGCTCCAAGTACAATCGCGTTCTGGAAAATGCCGGGCTCTTTCTCAGTTCTACCAAGCACAAGCCTGCGGCCGAGGAACAACTGCAGATCTAGTAAATATGGCATGTCTTGCTGCGTGATCAAGCTGTAACTCCAGCCTTCCCTTCCGGCCCGTGCTGTTCGGCCAACGCGATGGACGAAGATCTTTGGCTGGGAAGGGAAGTCGTAGTTGATGACGTTGGCGAGCAGCGGCACGTCAAGACCACGAGCCGCAACATCCGTGACCACCAAGATGTTCGTGATACCAGATCGAAAGTCTTGCACCTGCATCTTGCGTGCAGTCTGGTCCAGCGATCCATATACGTAAGATGTGGCGTAACCGTACGCCTTCAAGAAATTCGCGAGGTACTCGACGTGATGCTTTGTTGCTGCGAAGACGACCGTCGAGTGTGCCGATGGTGCTTCGTGCGCCGGAGCATCTGAGTCTCGCTTTCGCTTCTTGCTGCCTTTATCCTTGCCATCTCTCTTCTCAGCCACGTTCGATCCAGCCGGCATTTTGATCACGTCTTGCAAGATATGGAGCAGCGCTCCTTCCTTCTCGGCACGTTTCACTGTGAAGAAGACGCTTTGCAGACCCGGTGCAATCTTGCTTTCAGCATCCAGACGGACCAGTTTTGGATCTTGCAGACCTGCTCTAGCGAACTCCACCAAGCTCTTCGGGAGCGTGGCAGAAAAGAGTAAGGTCTGCCGGTTCGATGGCAGCGAATACATGATTTCGTGGAGTTGTGCCGCGAAACCCATTTCGAAGAGTCTGTCAGCCTCGTCAAAGACGACATATTTCACGCTGCTCAACTCCAAGCCCATCTCGACCTTGAGATGCTCGAAACGGCCAGGCGTGGCAATGATTATGTCCGGATTGCTCGCCATGCTGCCAAACTGATCTTCCAGGCTGTCTCCTCCCACAAGCAGCGTCGTCCGAAGGTCTGTGCCTCTGCCCATCTCCTTGACCACTTTCAATGTCTGCAGCGCCAATTCTCTGCTAGGCGACAGAACCACAGCTCTTGCGCCTACTTTTGCCGAATGTGACTTGAGCTTCTCAATCATGGGAATCACAAATGCCGCCGTTTTTCCGGAGCCTGTCCTTGCCATGCCAACTACATCTTGTCCATCCATGATCAAAGGAATCGTCTTTCGCTGGATCGGAGTCGGCACAGTGAAGCCTTTTCGCGTGATGGCTTTGAGCAGGTGCGCGTTCAATCCCATGCTTTTGAATGCTCCCGCCTTCTTCGCTGCCGTACTGTCGTTCTTGCGATTGACAGCAGCCTGTGTCGCCGCGATAAATGCTGCGTCCTCTTCATCCTCACTTTCTATCGCCGCAGGTTGTGCTGGTATCTCGATATCGGAGGCTGCATCGTCGCTGTCGAATCCTCCCGCCGCGAGCGACTTCGATATGTCGAACTCATTCTCGGACAGCGCCGGCGACGCTGCTCGCACCATTTCGCCGCTTTCTCTTGCTTCGTCGCAAAAGAGGCCAACTGCCGCTGCCACTGCTTCCTCTCCGTCCGTGTAGCCAAGCTTGACTTTTTTGTGTCCCAGAGATTTTGCTGCCGACATCCGATATCGATCTGATCCCTGTAGGGCAGACGTGAACTCTAAATCGCGTCGCGTTTTCGCGATTGAGGCAACAATTCGACGCAATAAAACATTACGACAACATTTTCCTTTCTGATACGCTCCATACCGCTCAGCACGCAGAGAACTTCAATATGGGTAAGTCTATCCATCTACTTATCCCGCCGTCTTGCTAACACCTCCCCTAGACACCGGCTACGGCGGCTACTCCACCACCTCATATGGCGCCCAAGGCGGAGCAGCAGGCGGCGGCTTCATGCCTGGCAGTCAAGGCGAAGGCAGCGCATCCAACAAGCGATCATACGGCAAAGACACACTCCGACCCGTAACCATCAAGCAACTCATAGACGCCCACCACCCACACCCCGATGCCGAACACTTCATGATCGACGACAGCGAAACCACACAAGTCACATTCGTTGCGCAAGTACGAAACATCAGCACACAAACAACAAACGTAACCTACAAGCTCGACGATGGCACCGGCACCATCGAAGTCAAAGTCTGGGTTGACGCGGAAACCGCTGCCATGGATGACGGAAAGCCGAAAGTGGTGGAGCAAGGATATGCGAGGGTTTGGGGACGACTGAAAGAATTCAATAACAAGAGACATGTTGGAGCGCTGTTCATTCGACCTATTACGGATATGAATGAAATCTCGTATCATTTGCTGGAAGCGACTGTCATACATCTACATTACGCGAAAGGGCCTGTCGAGCACTTGCAGGCGAATGGTGGGGCGCAGCAATCGAATGGTATGGGGTATGGACAGCAAAATGGCGGTGGTGGTGGAGACGCAGGTGGTGGCATGGCTGGACTTTCGCCTACGGCCAGGAAGGTGTATGGCTGTTTGAAGAATGCGACGCATACGAATGAGGGGCTACATGCACAGGTTATTGCTCAGCAGGTTGGACTGGAAATTTCGGCCGTCATGAAGGCTGGTGATGAATTGATGAGTCTGGGTAAGGTTTATACGACGGTGGATGATTTGACGTGGGCTTTGCTAGATCTGGAGGTTTGAGTGATGCCAACCTGACTGTCCGATGTCGATAATTGCAAGGAAAAGCGAGAGAAGGGCGCCGAGATGGGGCCGAGGAAGGCCTGGCCAAAATGATCTGATGGCGTACAATGCAGCGATGGAAGCTCTTTGGGTGTTATTGGCACCATACAGCTCCTGATGGCTTGAGATGGAGTGAACAAGTCGTGGAAAGCAACGTAGCATGAAAGAGATGGTGGGATGGACATGACACGAATGCATTGATCATACGTCTACCTGCTTGATTTTCTTTCCAGGCTCATGGGTATAGTCCCAACTGTTTCAAATATGTCTGCACCGCAGGCGTGACGGCCATGAAGCACATCGACAAATCACAGAGTCTGCAGTGACCCTGCTATCACATCAAGCATCCATTCTTCCTACTCGAATGAATCTCACTCTCCACAATTTTCGCCCTCTTCTTACCCCCCATTTGATTAAAAACCTCAACATACCACTCATACCAAACCTTCCTATCATCCGTCTGCCTCCACATACTAACCTCAATCTCACTTCCGCCGGGAACGAAAATCGGAGTTTTCAGCGGGAAGAAAATCGGGAACCAAGAAATCATATCCTTGCTCTTATCTCCCATGGTGATCGGGTTGGTAGAGAGTTCGATAGCTTTGCTGCCGTCGGTGGGTGCGTAGAGGACTGTCTCGAAGTATCCTGCGAGACCGTGACAGACGCCGCGATCCTGGGTTTTGAATGTGACTTTGCAGGATCGAGTGTTGTGTTCGTTTTTGCCGTCGCCTCCGGTCCAGCTGCCGGCGTCGAGGGTGCCGCCGGCACGGTTTTCTGCGTGGGAGAGGATTGATGAGGGGAGGGGGTGGGAGAATACCCAGGCGTCTTTGACGTCTGGAAGGAGTTCGGAGAAGACTGCTGCGGAAGCAATGCCTGCGCGTGAAGGCGTTCGGCAGAGATCGTCGTATTGGTGTAGCATGACCACGGCAGGCAGCTCCCATTTATCCTCGCCACCACGTTGGAGAAGGTCGCCGTACAGCCTTGGGGTTGAGATTGGGTTAAAGTGGGCGGAGTATGATTGTGGTATATTGATACCATGCTCTGGATGAAGAACGTGCTGTACACCGTCCAAGCATTCCGGACTCAACTCATTGTCTGCGAAGGATCCAAGTAGCTCCGACACCATGATGTCGACTTTTTGGACTTCACCATCAATTGTCGGGCCGGGCCAGCTGCGCATGTCAGACTTGTAGATGAGCACTCGCTTGTTCCAGAGCGGATCAGTGGCGTTTCGACGTTGTATGAGTACGTGCGCATTCGGATTCTTTTCGACGGCACAAGGCGTAACAGCAATGCCAGTTGATTTGCTCGCGCGCAACACACGAGTCACAAGTGGGCCTCGTCCTGCCCCGACGACCGCGCAAACGATGGGTCTACTACCGCCGAGCTTGCTGTCAAGGTCTTTCAAAGCAGCAGCTACGGCACGCTCATACCACTCATACTTGACAGGATCTTTTTCGAAGACCTCGTATGTAATAGACTCCAAGTTGTCGGTGAGAGGCTGCAGCGGTGACTGGACGTAGTCCTGGTATCCCTGCCCAAACCGCTCGATGGGTGGTCTTGCAGGTTGTGTTTGCTGTAGGTGGCGGAGGTAGCGAAGATGTGCGATGGGATCTGGCGGACTGTCCTTGGACGTTCGCGCGGCTTCTGCAGGAGTAGGTTCTGGTGCACTCTTCGTCGCGAAGCTGTCCGATGTCTCAATGGGATCCACATCTGCCAGCAGTACCCATGGTGGGTATCGTAGGCGCAAAAATCTGCTGAGCAGCTTCTGATGTGCTTTAGACAGCACCGGGAAACCTTTGGTGTTCCTGAGGAAGCTTGTTCTGGGAAGTACAAGCGTTCGTACGGGTTCAGAATACCAACGGGACTGCAAGGTCAAAGCAGGCAGTTGCCGAGGGATTTCGAGAGCTGTCCATTCGATTTCGATTAGTGTATGGTCCACCTGACAGGATGTGGAGGAGTCGTACCTGCAATAATCTATATTCGTTGCGATGCGTACGAGAGAAAGATGCGGGTGCAAAAGAGAAGATGGGAAGAAAGTTGAGAGATGACATACCTACTGTCAGCTTTGAGCTGTACCCACAGATTGTTCTGATGGTGTTCCATTGCTCCCAGCTGTCGAACTGGTCTGGTTCGTCGGGTGTCTCATCCTCATCGTCACTAAAGTGCGCAGCGTACCGCTCCGTGGCAAGCTCTGCGAGGTGAACACCGTCCGCTCCTTCCAGCTCCAACTCTCCCGTAGTCGGCAATATAACTTGTAAGTGGAGATATGGCCCAAGACTCAATGCTTCCAGAACAGCTCGCGAGTATTGCACGACATTCGACCCTTGAATGGGCCCATGGACAAGGACATTGCTCAAGCCGCAGAATGCAGCATATGCCAACTCGAGAGCGAAGACTTGACGACTGACCTTCGCAACCAGTGGATCGGGAGAGCCCAGGTCGATCCATGGACTGACGACCCCTATCAAAGCACTGTTGCTGTCCTCTGGCGTGAGATCTGTATCCTCAGGCAGTAGTGGCGAGAGTGCAGGAAGGGGAAGATGATCTGGGCGTGACGATTCCTTCAATTGCCGCACGTGATGCTCGAGAGTGGCGAGAACACGCGAGTGAAAACGCGAGGTGGTTAAAGGCGCAGTCAGGAGATGGTAGCCGGCCAATTGTGCTTGACCTAGCAATTTGCTGCTGACAGGATGTGAGCGCTGCGATTCATGCTGGCCAAGGTAGAGTATCGTGGGAGGCTCGTCCGGTAGCGAGGAGCCGTTTGTGTCCGCCATGCCGGGCAAGCGAGAAAGTAGCTGCCGTGCTGCGTCGAGTCTTGTTCTCTTCGATCTCCAGGAGTACAATGTTGAAAATTCAAATCTAAGGCACACACTCCGGCCGCATGCCAAGGCAAGCGCGGTCCGTCTCCTGTTCCGGCGCGCCTTCCCTTTCGCCATGGCCAGACGCAGACAAACGGCATGTCGCTCTTGCATTTCACTGGTTCTGGGCATCAACGACCAGTCTACAACCAGGTGGCGTGCAGCTATACACAAGGTTCCAGGTTCTCGGTGAGATTGCCGAGAACCTGCTAGTTCTAAGCGACCACATGCAAAGCTGACTGTGTCGGCTTGCCGAACGCGCATGTATATGGCTATATGGCCCCCGTCCAACACACCATGAAGCAGAGTTGCAGAAATGAGTAAACCTTCTCGTGCTCCAGCTGAGATCTGAGGAAGCAGCATGCAATGGCCATCATTCGGCGTGCGGTCCGCGCCACGTGTATTGCCGGATCACTATAGGGTTGATGACCGATGCGTGAGAAGTAATTACAGCTGCCGAGTCATGGTCAATCGCACGACGAAAAAAGGCTTCGGCCATAGACCGCCATGGCGTTAGCTCTGCCATTCCGAACATGCAGCGACTCGTGCCGTGTCACGCATGGAGATGGTGTTTCTTTGACGAAATTGGAGGGCGCATCCAGATCCCGCGTGCTGACTATTGTTCTTGTCTGATCAACCAAACAAAGGACGATCGATGTCCGCGAATCTTGCCACTTCTCGACATTCTTATCGAACTCTTCTGCCAAGCCGTACTTCTTCTGTTAGGTAGACATGGCTCCTCGAAAAGGCAAAGAGACTCTGCTTGAGCTCTGCACCGCAACGACGACCCTGGGAAATACCATTGCAGTACATGTTGTCGAGTACCTGTCAACGGCGAAATCCCCCTCCCATGGCTTCAAGGAGCTCGCCGTCGACTTTCTGGAGACCAGCCGCATTCTCTTCCCAGCCAAGGCCGGACTGACAGAGACTGCACGAACTGGCACTCAATTCCCTTCAGATATCACACAGGAGCTCAGGGAACGATTTCACCAAACGAATACTGTATTCGTGGTTCTGAATCAGCTCGTGAACAAGTTTCTCGAAAATGAACGAAAGCAGGGCTTCGGAAAGCTTGGAAAGGGATTCCGCATGATGTTTGCCGACATCGAAAAGATGCGAATGTCCTTGACCCAATGTCGCGCTGCTCTGAGGATGAGTGCCTTGGTGTTCACATGGACCCTGGGAGAGGACAAAGTTGACGCGGCCTCAAGCATTGGTTATACTGCTCTCGCAGCTGTACTGGGTCTTTCAGAGCCACAAAAGGGAAAGAGCGACAGGTCGGATGCTCCGCCACGATACCCAAATGGTCTGCCACTATCGCCAGAGCCAAAGTCGCCACGACTTCCACTTGAGAGGCACACAACACTGAACTCTTCCCATCCGAGCACGCACCATCATCATGCACTGGACAGCTCCTACCCGGATCGTGAAAGCTCATTTGGTCCCATTTTTACCTATCCGCATCCAATGCAACATGGCAAGACACAACTTTCACACCAGTATAGCAAACGCAGCTCCGTAATAGAAATTGCTCTCGATAATGCTTCCGATGTCACGAGGAGTGCATCTTTGCATGACGATCACGACTTCGATATCCAGATCCCAAAGACCGCTGCCCGCGTGACAGCCGACCCATCAGCTGTACACAGACGTCAACCCAGCCATTATACGGGGGAGCCCACACCAGCATCCAAGATGGCTCTTGTAACAGCAGTACAGCAGAAGAACTCGCGAGTAGTTGAGCAGCTGCTGGAATCTGGTGTTCCTGCCGACAACGGAGTCGAATGCAATTTGCTCCGCGTGGCTGTCACAAACCACGATCTTCCTACTGTACACCTTCTCCTCCTATTTGGCGCCGATCCTAACGCAAAGGACAAGGACGGCTTCACACCTTTGCATGCCGCGACAGAGGTGTCGTTCTACGACGCTGCACAGCTCCTTGTGAAATACTGCGCAGATCCAAATATCAGTGCCGGTTCAAATGGAGTGAATCCCTTCGCCGTGGCATTGACCAATCACAAGAGCCATTTTGCACAGCTCTTCCTCTGCTACGGTGCGGAACCGGATTTGATGATGTTGGGCGGCAACACACCATTCTTGCTATCGATCGACAAGTCCATACCGATTGGCCTGATCGAGCTTATGTTGGTGTACGAGGCCAATCCCAACTGCAAGAACGGCCAAGGCGAGACTGCACTTTTCAAGGCAATCAACGCACAGCGTCTTGACATCGTCGCTCTTCTTCTTGATCACGGCGCTGACCCCAATCTTCCTGGTCCCAAGCATATGCTCTGGCCCTCAGTCCACCATCCACGCATCTTGGAGTTGATGTTGCAGCGTGGCGCAAATGTCACGCGTGCTCCTGGCTGCCTTGAACTCTCAACCTCAATCAACAAATTCGAGTCCGTGGACATTCTCCTCAAGCACGGCGCAGATCCAAATACCAAGAAGGATGGGATCTTCACACCACTGTGCACTGCTATCCGAGATGATCGAAGCAACTTGGTTGATATCCTGATCGCTGCCGGTGCTGATCCGAATCTCAAGGCAAGCGAGTATCCTGCGTTCAAGTGCGTCACGCATCATCGTGCGCATCTTCTGCCAAGAGTATTGGCTGCAGGTGCAGATCCGAGCACACCAAAGGGTATCATCGAGACAGCGGTTGCACACAACAATAAAGAGGCTTTGATCTACTTGCTGGAACAGCGCGTGGATCCTAACGCCCGGACTCCAGCGGGCGACACAGCTCTTACAACTGCAATCAGACATAACCGCATCGATCTCATCGACATCCTCCTCGCCCACGGCGCTGACCCAGCTGTCCACGGTCAAGACTGGCCTGTGAGTATGGCCGTCAAACACCCCCAGATTTTGGCAAAGCTTCTGCCGAAAATTAGTGTCAGCAAGATCAACAAGGGCTCTCTCGAAATGGCCGTGGTGGCAAACCAGTTGGAAAGCGTCAAGCTTCTCCTCGCGAAGGGCATGAGTGTGGAGGATAAGAACGGCGGCGTCTTTAGTCCACTCACGACCTCGATCCGTGAGGACCGCAAGGACATTTTCTACTACCTCGTCGACGAGGCTGGTGCAGACCCGAACGCGCCAGGAGAGCATCTGCCCATCATCAAGGCGATTCGCCGCCATCGCGAGCATGACCTTTCGTATATCGAGCATCTGCTAGCCAAGGGTGCGGACATCAATCTCATGTACCGTGGCTGGAATGCAGTCCTTCAGGCACTGGACAATGGCGACACTGAGATCCTCAAGCTGCTTGCCAAAATGGGCAACCCTGATCTGAGTGCTCGAGATGAAAATGATCGAAGTGTCTTGGAGATCATGCAGGAGCGTGGCCTTGAAGAAGAGGCTACGACACTGCTTGGCGGCAGAAGTCCGTCCCCACAGATGAAGAAGGCACTCAGTCAACTGAGAGGCTTGGTCGTGCAATAGGAACTCGGGGAGCGAATGGAGCAAGAGGCGTTTGATGTTCGATGGTCGCAGGGTTCTGTTTTGCGAGGAAGCTTCCATTGGCGTTCCATACCTCGTCGCTGATTGCTTGCTGGGATGCTATGGGTACAGATTGACATTGGAGTCTTCCTCTGACATTGGCGATTTGACAAGGGATACCTCTACTGCGAAACTGCATCTCGTATGTTTTCGATAGATTGATTAATAATGAACATTTGGAAAGTTGAACCACAAGACGTCCACTCCTTCACGGTCTTGGCACTGGCGAAAGAGCCGTCGGCCATTTCGTCCAGCTCTTTCCCGTAAGATTTCCATCGGCACCACAACAACACATTCGCGAGACGGCACGGAGGATCTGGCCTGTGATGATGAGCAAACTGCGCATACTGTGCTTGCACGGCTTCACGTCGAACGGCTCAGTACACGCCCTCCAGGTGCGCCGCATCACTGCCCAGCTGCCCGACTATGACTTCCTTTTCCCGGACGGGCCACATGTCGTGGATATTGCATCGCAAATGGACATGACGAAGCCTGCAAACCAGGTCTGGTCAGATCTCGTCCTATCCTCATCGCAGTCAGGTCATCGCGCGTGGTGGTACGCACGAGACGGCAATTTTCACAACAAGGAGTCTGGCGACTTCGTTGGCTTCCAGGAATCGCTGGAGTATCTTGGCAACTATCTCAAAGAATCAGGCCCGGTACATGCAATATGGGGCTTCAGTCAAGGAGCGTGCTTCGCCGGCATGCTCTGTGCACTTCTACAGCCCAAGTTGGCCTCACATCCCTACCGGAAGCACATACCGGCCAATGTCACGGGCACGCCTTTAGCAGGAGTGATTTTCTCCGGCTTTCGTGCGAGGTTTCCACAATACGACGGCCTTTATGAGCCAGGTATCGACGTTCCAACTTTGCACGTCATCGGAGAGCAGGACCCTTTGGTCGGGAGTGAGAGAAGCGAAGCACTCATTAAGATATGTCACGACTCTGAATTCCTGAAGCATGCGGGTGGTCATGATATCCCTAAGGGCGAGGCCGATATTGCAAAGATTGTGGATTTCACAAAGCGGCACGTGAAGGAGAACTCATCTGTGCAGGCGTCAATGTGATCGTCCTTCATCGAGAGATCAAATTCTTGTCGAGATACATTCTCCAATTGAGGCGTTCAAGCGCGATCTTCAAGAGCTCATGGAAGAGCTTGGCGATATGTCTCAGGGACCAGGCCAGGACCAATCCACGATTCCAGAGACCAAGCCGAGACGAATATTTCCAAACGTTGTCTGTGACGACTGTTACAAGGCAATCTACGATGTTCGCTATAAGTGTCTAGACTGCGACGACTATGATCTTTGCGCAGACTGCATCCATGACCGCGGCGAAGAACAATCCGACCACCACTTCTTGCCAATATATGATACTCCCTGGTTTGAGATGGTGCCTACAGGAGCAATGGTTCCGAAGATAGAGCAAGAGGATACGGACAGCTCTTCGAAATCAGACCAGGAGAGCAACGACATGGCAGATGGAGTTCTTTCGACGAGCAAAATCGCGTCCCGACTAGCCCTCACCTAAATTTCGGTGGCAATCTCAGGTACAGGGATACGCTATACGAAGAATCTTGTGATCCTCCAAAGTTTCGTCTGCTCAGCCTATGGCCTGGACGTGGCGATGATCCGCTCTTGGGCCACCTCGATACATATGAGCTGGATCACACTCCGTTATTTGAGGCTCTGTCGTATTGCTGGGGTGGAGCTGATCCGAGCTATACCATCAATGTTTCCGGCGAGAAAGTGGAAGTCACGGAAAAATCTGAAGCTGGCACTGTTCCGTCTTAGAAAGAGTGACGAGGTCAGAAGACTATGGATCGATGGCATCTGCATCAATCAACAAGATGCCATCGTGACAAAACCTCCCCTCAACTCGAAATCCTCTCGATTCCACACGGTGCTTCGACCAACATATCATCATCATCATCATCATGTCTTCCCTCCTGGGTCCCGAACTGGGACGACAATACCTCAAAACCAAGGAGGGGGAGTGGAGTGTGCCGGAGGAAGCGGAGGTTGGGGATGGGGTTGTGTTGTTGGAGGGTGGGAGTACAGCGTTTGTACTTGGAGGACAGGAGAATGGGGACCACGTGGGGGGTGGTTGGGGAGTGTTTTGTGAACGGGGTGATGGATGGTGAGCTTTGGGATGAGGGGATGTGTGAGGAGATTGTCATTGTTGGATGGTTGTGTTGGAGCGAGCTGTCAGAGGTTTCTGGCTGTGCTTGAAGGTGTGAGGATCTTGCTTACAGGGTTCACGCGGGGAGGTCTTGGTAGAACTACTTCCGCTCCTTCCACTACTGCAGCGGGTGCAAAGAAGAGGAGGCAATGCAAGCATTATGAGCGATTGATCCACGCATACCGTCATACGGCTGGGGATGCACTTTCCCGTCTCGCCAATGTCACGATATTTTGTTTTCTATCCTACCTGCATGGGTCTCATGGGCCAACGCTGGGGGTTGGGGCTGGGCAGGCCATCACATTCAGCATCCCAGACATCTGTCTGCAGGTGTGCAAACATGTCCGACTCAGGCTCAGCAAGGCGGTCGCGCGGAGCGTCTTGAAACGAAGCGCGTGATGGCAATGCAAGCAAGCCTCATTATCCAACGAGCCCGATGGGAATTTGTTCGTGGCCATGTCCCTGACGATCCGAAGCCGTGGCTTTGTCGTCCGGACGCGTGACCTTCTACATATGTGCCGAAAGCTTCTTCCACCAGTGCGCATTTCGAGCGATGTGATGGCAGTGACTGGCACATTATATTCGCGGGCGCTGATGTCGACTACGTGTTACGATGCCAGACGATATGCAGCAAAAGGAAAGAGGAAGAGTCCCGTCGCTCGCTCGCCCGCAGCCGGGGGTGACCGCTGGACGGACGGCTTCGGAGAACTCCTCCAGTCTTGCGGTGCGCATGTGATGATGAAGCATGTCAGTTGTTATCCTCGCCAATTGCAGCGCCTTGCAGAGCAATCTCCATGTAGGTACCATCGAGTCCCGTCGTCTGCTCATTTCCCACCTGCCTCCAGTCAACATCACAGCCCACCACCCACAGCCCACCCACCTCCTCCAAGCTCCTGCTCTGAAGCTCACCCTCTCAACGCATACGCCCAACTTTCTTGCTAAATCCTCCCACCACCCCTTCTCCAGCGCTGGTACCGCGTGCATCTGGATCCTCATGAACGACGTCTCTGGAACCGATCCGTCCGTTGCGCTGCAGAAGAAGGCTGAGCCATCGGCCCGCAACCACCATGAGTGGAAATACCGGTAGTACAAGGTGAGCACGAGAGAGCAGCTTCATGAGCACCTAGGCCTGCTTTTTTGCTACCATTCACATGATTGCATTCTGTCCCATATGCCACCATCCTACTCCTACTCACGACCCGGCACTCGCGGTGGAAGTCCTTTGGCTAACACGGAGCCTTGCAGATCCATTCGAGATGTCACTAAAAATCTCCATGCCCATTTTGCCGCTTCTAAGATACCGCTGTCCCTCCCCAGCGAGTGCCGCCGCATGCTACAGTCATTCATCGACGACATCCAGCACCGTATAGAAATCGACGAAGCCACCAAAGCCAACCAGGAACTCAAGCAATTCTGGGACAGATATATTGCCGGCAACCCGCAAAAGCTGGGAGCATTCGTTGGAGTGTTGAGGGAATTGCGAGCTGCCATCGTCAGTGAAGATGACTTGCTGGAATGGTATCACCTGGCTGGCAAGCCCGTGCTGGCCAGTGTCGGCTTCAAGAAAACAGCCTTGGACGACGCCCAAGAATTTGTGGCCAGCGTCATGATTTACGATGAGCATGAAAACAATGCCAAGCAGCGCAGCCGCACGTCGACTAGGATATGCAGTGATCTGCTGAACGTGTATCTCGCCAGAACGAGAGCCCTGGCGGAAGAGGACCAATTCGTGGCCCCGGACAATGCCCAGATTGCACAGCAGGTGGAAGGTGTCTTGGTAGCATGCGGCAGAAAGATGCCACGCCAGCTCTTCCACAGTTTTGACGATCTCATCGTGAGACCCGAAACCAGACTGCAAGGACTTGCGCTACTTTCTTCATTCCTTCGACACCAGACGCCGCATATCTACACTGTTCAGCATACACCGGTCGTCGAGAATCTCTTGAAATGTCTCATGAACGACACCTCTACGACAGTCCTTTCAGTAGCCCTGACATCGCTGATCATGCTCTTGCCGCACATTCCCGGGTCGCTGAATTCAACCCTACCACGGCTCTTCCTCATCTACAGCAGATTGCTCTGCTGGGAGCGCTTCTCGGCACTCAGCACAGACGCGCAAAAGAATCTGGTGAAAGACGATCGCATTGCCGCGGACGATGATTACGACCATGGCGACGTCGGAATCGATTCGACTTGGGAGAAGTGCAGACCCCGAGAAGGTACTGTCGAGGCTTCCACTCCAGAGCTGAAGACATACTACACTTACCTCTACGGCTTGTATCCTCTCAACTTCATGAGCTATATTCGCAAGCCCCGCCGATTCTTGAAAAATCTCGATTTTCCGGGCGCCGACGACTTCGACCTTGACCAAGCAGTCATCCGAAGCAGGAGCGACCAGTTTCGGCAACTGCACCTTCTGCACCCCAACTTCTACAACCTTACCATCGAGGAGGAGCTAATTGATCCAAAATGGCCGAGAATGGATCCTGCCGATGTTGTTGCTGAATGTCACAGTCTAGCTATCGATTCCAGATCGCCGCTTGCCAGTCCAGGCCCTCCACCTACTGGCAAGTTGCCAGCGCTGCCGCCTCTGCCACCCATACCGTCAAGCAACAATGGCTCGATATCACCGGCCGTTAGTCACACCAGCTTGCGTTCTGGGCACAGTTGGCGTGACACACTGTCTACAGCCGTCTCTTCTGGCATCCACATTGATGGCGATAGTCCTGTGCTTGGCCCGCAAGACGACGCTGTCGAGATGCTGCGACCTCGTAGCAAGGCAGGTGTTGAGAAGATGCGTTCATCTCCAGTCCTTGACGAGTTCCCTCTGCCATCAGGTGGACTTCCCGGGCCGCAGCAGATGAGGGATCCCTCAGAGCCTCCGCCGACCACCAACCTTGCCTACCTTCAACGAGAGATTACTCTCCTGCGCAACGACTTGAATTTTGAGCGATGGCACAAAGCACAATACTCGCAACACATTGGCCAGCTAATGCGCAAGAACGTGAAGGATGCCACGGTCGAAGCGGAAACACTCAATCTCATCAACGCCAACCGCGCTCTGAAGCAGCAGCTAGAGCAAGTGCGAAAAGAACGTGAGGCAACCATCAGAGACTCGAACTTGACGCGGAAGCAAGCCAACAATCTCGAATCTAACATGACCGAGCGCTTCAACAAGATGAAGAAGGAGCAAGAGACCTGGAATGCCGATGCCGAAGAGCTCCGCAGACTTCGTACTCAGATGAAGACCTACCGCGATCTGCTGTCCGAGACGGAGGCACGTGAGCTGAAGACGGCGCACGAGCTGGAGATAGTCAAGCGTAATCTGGAGCAGATGAAGAATCTCGAGGCTCAGCTTGAAGAAGCACGACGCAAGATTCGCGAGTATGAGTATCGGGAATGGGACTTTGATCAAGCAAAGCGCGAACACGAGCTTCTCCAAAGCGAGAAAGAGACACTCCAGATGCGCATCAGACGGCAGGACCAGGACCTCCAGCGCACGAAGCAGATGTACAGCGAACGTCTTGTGGAGATGGAGGCGTCTCTTGCAGGAGGCGCGGAGTTTGATCGTCCTCCGACCGCACTGTCGCTACAGCCTGGCTCGGGTGCCCCAATTGCTACACAACGGGAGCTGGAAGACACAAAGGCGAAATTGATGCAGCTAAAGAAGTCTCATTCGCGCCTGCTCGAGCGCTACACCGACCTCGAGATGGAGTATCAATCGGTCAAGAGCCAGCTTGCAACCATCCAGCAAGGGTATGGGGGAGAGTACGGCGATCCGCCTCGGAGTGGTAGTCTTGGTGCTCACTCCACACGGGAGCCTTCAATCATGTCGGGTGGCCTGCCAGGGCGTCCAGGCGTACTTGAGAGTGTGTACGATCTGGCAAGCGAGTATGGTGCACCCTCAGAGCTGGCCTACACCAACATCAGTCAATCAGATCCCACAGACAAGAGGTACATGAAGCGATCATCGACTTTAGCGTAAGTCAAGAAAGCACTAGCTTTGCATTTCATCTTCATCTTCAGCGGTACAGGTGAAAGATTGCTAACTAAAGCGTGCAGACTTCACCGCGGGGATATGCGTGGTCGCCCGGTATCACCAATCTCACCACCACGCAGCGAGGCTACCATACACAGTGCTGCTGGCTTGACTTGGAAGCCAGCTGCCGCTCAGACGACCAAGTCGCAAGATTCTGAAGTCTCTGGCTTCAACGCAACGCGACCACTTGGATCAGACGAACGAAGCATCCTCAGCGGTCAGAGTGGTGGCAGCGGTGGCGGTCCCAAGAAGGATAAGATCGATGTTAAGAGCGAGGTCAGAGTCTATGGGAGAGGTGAGTTGCAGCCTCAAAGATCGCATCCGAGAATGTCAATACTAATGGTCATCCAGGCGGCGCTCAAAACATCAAGCTCAAGTCCAAAGAGGCCGCCAAACCTGATAAGACGAAAGGTTTCGCCGGAAAGCTCGGCAAAGGTCTAGGGTTGTCCTAGCAAGGCAAGAACGAGGACTCCTCTGATTCAACTTTCACTTCCTCTGAGACGACTGCGAATGCAGCTGACCTCGCACAAGCTTTCGTTCGAATACAGATGTTCCCCTCGAGTTTGTGGATATGAAGAGCATGACTTCACGAAAAGACGGCGAGCAAAGATTTTTTGGCATGGCATGGCGCTGAGGACGAGCGAATATCTGGGAGGGAAAATTGCTTCTTTATCATACCCTGCCAGCAAGCCCGATGTGGCTATATAGCTGGTTCGCGCTGGATGACGAAAGCTGTTTGTGTGTATGTGTCAGCTTCAGCAATGATTGCTAAAGTAGTGTAGGCCTTTCCGCCGTGACCTTCCTTCCACAATCTCCTCTTGCCACCCTCACTCCGCCCTTCTCATCCTTTCCAAGGCTTCGGGAACGCAACATCGAACAACTCTCCAAACGTCGGATTGCCCCAATAACCCTTAAACACATGTTTCCCAGACCCATACGAAGACTTGTGCACCTTCACAGTGGTAACGCAATAATCAGAATCCATCAACACCATCTTCCTCCACGATTCTTCACGTTCCAAGGATCGCACCTCATCATCTGGATCGAAAGTCCTGAACGTAACCCAGACATCATCCGTCCCATCGAATATACGCTCCACCACGCTGCAATCCACATGCGCTCTGATTACATTGTACCAGCCACTGATCGGGAGGAAAACCATGTTAAACCGAGAATCCGAGCTGCTTTGTCCGAAGAAGGGGTTGTGGGTGTAGTAACGGCGTTTTCCTGGGGTCGGGTTGAGGAAGAGGGCGCGTAAGAGTTTTGCTGATCCTTGGATTGTGGCACGGAATTGGTGGGAGACTCGTTGGCTTTGCAGGAGGGATTTGAGGTGCTTGATGTTACCGTCGTCGAGGTGGAGTAGGATCTCTTCGAGAAGCTCGGGGGTGTGAGCGACGCGTTGGCCGGCTGAAGGTGGAGCTGGAGCTGGAGCTGGAGGTGCTGACATGATGGTGGGTGTGCTGCTGAAGTGGCCTAATGCGATGCGACTATTGATGATGTTAGTGCTGATCGCATATCTAGCGTGCGATTGACCCTATGGCGAGGCGAGGCGAGGCGAGGCGGTTGGCTGGCGTGGATGTTGTTGAAGAGGAAGTGAGAAAGGTTGAGGAAGAGTTGTAAGTCATTTTCACCACGCAGATTCTGAAAGCTTGGCAACTTCTAACGGCCATGCATACATGTGTGCGCATCTGAAGGCGGCAACGACGGCAGCACCTTTCAATCTCTCACTTCGACACACCGCTGCCCATCCTCAATGCTCCAACTCAAACGCAGCATCATGCAATAGTCCTAGCCTGACGTTCTTCCATCCATCCATCCTCAAGCCTCTATGCTCGGTACTTCCCAAACGCCACGTCGTACAGCTCACCCAGCGTAGCATTCTTCAATCCCTTCTTCCATCTTGGCACCACTACCTACCTCGTTAACCTGAAGCTTAGCAACAACATAATCGCCCGCTCTCAGGTGCATCTTACGCCAGGATGGCACCATCTCTGCCCTAATAGATCCGCTCTCCCATCGCCGCTTATTCAGACTGACCTGTATCTTGACGGGGGCTCGTCGTTTTCTAGCTGCTACTTTACGCCAACGGACATGCAGAAAGGCACCTTTGACTCGGAACCTCTGCTTGGGAATCAAGCGGTTGTCCGGAAATCCCAGATTTGGTTGGAGAAAGAGCTTTCTCGAGAATGCTGGAGCCTTTGATCGTGCACTGGAATTCTCTGCAGCAGCGCTTCTGTGGGAATTTGATTACTTCTAACAGGATCTGTTTCAGGACTACCTTTGCGGATAGTAACGGTACTGAAGAGTGGGTAGCTCGAAATTGAAGGAGGAAGTGAAGTAGCTCTGGTAGTTTCTGGAAAGTTGTGCTTACTCTGGTGGGTCATCAGGACAATGCGACTGCTATTGCGACTGGTTCTCGTAACGTCGTTATTACGGATCGACTCCTGAAGGCTTAGGCCACCCCGTCGAGTACGTATCCAGCGGGTGAAGGTCACCATCCCACGGATACATCGCTTTCCACGATTCATTGATTGCTGAATTCTTGAAGGCTGGCTCGGAGAATGAGGTGGGTCTCGTTTGAGCTCAAGGCGCAGGTGGCTGTAGTCTCTAAGAGACACGAAAAACCATTGTCAAGTTATAAGAATACCTTGCGGACTCAAGAAGCCTAGTCCTGCGCTGAAACCGGGATGATGAGCACACCACTTCCTTGACGTTCCAGTGAGTTCTGTACAGGACGAGGTACGCAAAACTTGGTGATACGTGCGAGCCTCTTTACGACCAAGAATAATCAATGATAGCGTCGATATCGTCGGATTGAATCATAGAAGAGATTGGTCCACGCTCCACGACTTCAAAAAGTGGGTGAACTACCAAGTGAGGTTTCATACCTTCACTCCATCGTTCCCCTGCAAATTCTCATACCTGGAATATGCAGTGTGCTTCATTGAAAGCTCGAGATGTCACAGAGCTCGCGAAATGCTCCAGCGTAATTTTACAAAGGCGATTTTGCAAGTCAGTTATAGGTAAATTGATCTTTGAACTATCGAGTAAGTTCCACCAGCTCACTACGCCGTTCTCTTGCGTATGTTAACACTCAAGAGACCTGGAATACTTCGCTAAACGCTTAGATTGCCGAATGGCCAACGAAGGGGCTAGTCTTTAGTCTTTATATGCCAAGTTCGCTTTTCCCCCTAAAGTTGCTGCTTGGTCCTCCCTCCCCTCATAAGCCGCAACAATGAGCTTGCCCGATATTCGGGTTCATCCAATCTCCTATCGGGATGTTGACCTTCATACCATTCGACCACAGCTCTGTAACGTGATCCTGAGCTCCCGCTTGCGATGAATCTCGTGACAGGTCTCCCTCGGCTAGATAGAGCCAGTAGAATCTGCTCGAGAAGGTCTGGAATTGCAGCGGCTTGATTACCGGTAGATGAGGCGGCGATGGTCGCATTGCTGAGAGTTGTTAGTAGAGGTCTCAATTGAAAGGCAATTCGCGTTCATACCTTATGACCTTGGCCAGAGATATTGGATGAGAGTAGTAGAAAAATTGCAAAGCTTCGACAAGCCAACAAGTGAAGTAGGTCTGTGCGCAGTCGAGGAAATGGGATGAGGATAACAGATCCGTGAGAGGATAGTGATGGGTATGTAGGAGGAGTCGTGATCGGGAGGATTTGTGTATGAAGTTGTGTAGAAGTACGACATTGCGCGAACCACTGACTGACAGTGTTCGTCATCATCGTCGATGTGAGGCGAGGTCAAGACCTCTTACTTAGATTCTGCGCTGTTGCGAGTTGTATGGCTCGCCCGAGTATACCTGAACGCACGGACAGCGAGTAGAGATTGCTCTTCAAAATCCTGTTCTGGATCGCGCGTCCGCTGTGCTCCTCCGATGACAGCCTCGTATAGCTCGCCAAATGTCGGACTGCATCTCTCCTCTCTGGAGAAGAAACCCACATTGGGATTGCTGTAGTTGTGGCCTTGAAGCTCGACGACCTGGAACGGAGCATTCCACCAGTACATTCGCATCCAAGAAGGCGTGATTGATGGATTCTGCCGCAGAGCTGAGCCCTCATTCTTTTGAAAGCTGATCCTCATCGTCATCATCGGACAGATCTCTGACTTTTGCCGTCCCCAGTTGACGACGCACGCCTCGTAACCTAGCTTGAGAGCGCCGTATGGCCGCTGCTTGGTAGGTCTCAGCGGATTATGCTGTGTGATTTGCCATCTAGCAGGATTGAAGGCTTTGGTTTTGAAGAACAGTGCCTCCTGCAAAGATTTGGAAGAAGCGATTGTCTGCTGGAATACTTCGCTGACGCGCTGACTTAGGAGGACCGTACGAAGGCGTAGCTGGGCTTCGTCGTTGTTGTAACACCCTCGAAAACCTGGCGCGCATAAGTCTTCGGTTTCAGCCAGCATCAGAAGGATGCTCTCAAGCAGCTCAAAAGTATGAGCGACTCGACTGCCCGCAGACATGGCTTCAACTTATTAGTGTTACGAACTGCATTCGAGGGAGCTGCACATACCGAGACGAGACTTGATGCGTTAGCGATTGTTGAATCTGTGCGTGTGTGTACTTGAGAAGTCGAAAGCGGAAGTCAGAGTCGAGACAAGCGTAGATGTGGATATAGTTGACGCGACGTGGTCCGTGCGGATCTTCACATGCGGATCTTCACAAGATCGCGTCGCGTCGAATGATTACGAGCCACCGCACGGACCGAAGTCTCGAAGTGAGATCTCGTCATCCAGAATCATACGTCAACACATTGACTCGCACATTCTTCTCCCACACCAAAACCATACCGACAAGCAAAAAACAAGCCAACCACCAGACCTCTTTGGCCGCGTCAGCAGCACATAGTACTTCGTTGGTACATTCTTCCTCCTGTCGCTTATCTTCACTGACCTCACTCAGATCATGACAGCTCCATCGGCCGGACATCGAGTCGCGCACATCCCCGAGCTTCTCGAGAAAATCTTGATCCATGTCTTGGAAGACATCATTGGTTGGTTTCGCGTCGCCATCTCCGAGGTTCGCCAGCCAAAGAGCCAGTACCAGCTTCCGCGACGCCATCGCCGGTTCCAAGAAACTCCAGCAGGCTCTCATGCTCACCCCTCTACTCACAGGGACCAACACTGGACTACATACCCCCTGTCCACTTCGGGCTCGCAAAGCCTTACGATGTGGTGGAGGTCCTGCAAGACTTTCCACGATGGAGAAAAGCAGGATGCGCTGATGAGGAATGCAAATCTCGGGCAGATCTACGATCGTGCTGTGGTTCAGAAGGCGAAAGACGGTCAAGGGGGATGGAATTTGAGAGCAGGACAGGGAACTTGAGTAGGAAGGTGGTTCGATCCATACCGATGAGACTCTCGTTGTTCCATGGCAGGAGGAAAGGGAAAGCATTGTGGTGCTTCTGCAGGGCTGGTAGATCAAGACGTCAGCATGGTCACTCAGGATACGCAGGAGTTGCTTAAGCGGGAGTGTTTGTGGCATGGAATTGCCCATTTCAATTTCGATGACATTACGGAGCAAGGAAAGATGCATCTTCCAGGCTTACTTTATCGTCCATCATCCTACTCCACAGAATCGATTCCTTCCCTTTTGCGCGGGAACCATCTCAGATTCGCAATTGACCAAACTGCTCTTCGATATCTCGAGCGTGGGTGACACCTTCAGCAGCCCGATGATGCTGCCCACCCACAGCTGCGCCGCACTGAGGGCATCGAGAAAGCTGCATAGCCATGCCGCATTCGCCTATGAATTAGTCAGTAATGAAAAAGAAGAATGGATTTGGTTTGTGACATAGCTCACCAATGGTGAAAAGATGTCCGTTGGCGCAACGGTACCAGTGTCCGGTGCCTAAAAATTCGGTCGCCATTGCAGCAACGACCATGCGCAGTTCGTTTGCGGAGACCGATGATACAGAAGTCTTCAGCATCTTGCGAATTGCCGAGACTTCGCCAGATACGGGAGCTGTTTGGCCAGCGTACTGGTTGCAAATCGCCTCTGCTTCATCAAGGTGCTTGTTACCCGCACGCTGAAGTGCTTCTATCATTTGAGACCTGTCTTCGTATCAGCATTGTATCAAATGTCTTGGGATTGGAGGACTTACCTGTCATCACGAGAGTGAGCCAGAACAGTAATCTCCAAAGCCGCGAAATGCGCCCAGAAGATGTGACACTCGGCTTGCTGCAAGACGTGAGCAGACTTGATTGCGCTTATCATTAATGCATTGCAATCATCACGGTTCTTGTCAAGCACCAGCCAAAGCTTAGCAGTGTCTTTCAGCTTCTGCGGCAGCTTCTCCCAAACAGTGACAAGGTCGGTAAGCAAGACGAGCTCGCAGCGAATGAACAGTGCTTGCGCCAGCAACTGTCCTCTGGTCTGCAAAATGCTCTGGTCGAATTCAAATGCAGGTAGATCGGACTGATTGCGGCGACGCACAGCCTCAACCAGGTCGCGGACTTTCTGAAACGGCTGCTCCTCCTTCCTCACTTTCTGTATGAATGTCGCAATGGTCGTACGCAGCTTCAGGAGTGGCTGGTAACGAGCCCCCGTTTTTGCTCTCAACGCATGTTCAATACCCTTGGTTCCATGCAGGACGATGTCTCCAGAAAGCCGAGCCTCATCGACCGTCTCTGAAAGATCACCCTGGTATTCTTTCAGTTGGTCGGCCAGGGGCATGTAGGTGCGATTGGACCAGATGATGAACTTCTTGGTGCTTTCATCAAGCAATGAGCGGCGCACAATGCGGCCATACCTAGCCACGCTCCGTAAAGAGCCTCGGCAATCGGGGCAAGTCTTGATCTTTTCGTAAGACAGCGGGAGAATGTCGCCTTTGAGTGAAGTGGGTACTTCGAAATCACCAGATAATTCCGTGTTGTAGTGAGTCGACATTTCCATTTGACCATCGAGGGTTTCCATCGTGAAAATATGACCGCAAGGAAGAAAGAGGCAAGGCGCCTGATCCAGATCGACCTCAGCATACGTCTCCATCGTGTAGATGTCAACACGGACATCAAGAATCTCTTCATCAGCGCATACTTGGCAGTACCGTGCTGCTGGGCACGGCTCGCCACATATTGATGGGCACAGATGTCCACAAGAAAGTGTCTTCTGGCAGCGTTGCGAGCATGGCACCCAGTCGCAGGGCGCACCGCAGGGCATCTGACAAGCAGTATGAGGGCAGCTCGATGGGCACTTTTCTTCTGTGCATGGCATGCAAGGCTCGTGACAAAGCTTGGAGCACTTGGAATGAATGCAGCTTGTGACGCACGGTTGTGAGCACGGAGGGCAGTCTTCGTCCGGATGACAATATTCCTTGCAGGAGTGGCTGCATGTGTTGAAATCGCGACCGCAGATCTGCAGGCACGGGCCATGATCGGTGTTCTTCACTTCGCCGGTTTTGATGTCGCGTCGACAGTCACGGCAAGGCTTCTGGCACGAGTGGCCGCACTCTAACGACGCTGAGCACTGCGCTGTGCACATGTAAGAAGGGCCATCCACCGAGACATGGCAGGCTACCACCACCTCATGTCCGCAATTGGATACCTTGCGTTCCACCTGCACCTCGCAGCGGATCTTGGATTGGTCTTGCAGTTGCCAACAAGGCAGAGCTGATACGACATGCCCGCATGGAAGGGTGAGGTTGCATTGAACAACGACATCGCAGCGCGATGCGCATTCGGCTCCGCATGGCAATTCGCACGGGTGACTGCACCCAGTCTTTGGACGATTGCAGTCTTTCAAACAGTACACGCTGTTGTGTAAAGCCTCTGCGTGGCACTTTTGCGGACATGAGTGGCCACAAGGTAGCTGCTTGCCGCATAGAAGATCACAGCCTGCTTCGGGAGCGACGCGAGCAAAGTCCTCCGGCTCATGAATTTGCAGAGGTGTATCTGGATGACGTGGGCAAGCAAGCTCCAATGTGGTGCCAATATTCGCCTCCGACTTGAAGATGTTGATGACGCCTTGCCACATTGGCACGTTGGACGTCGTTGCAGAGTTGCCGATGATGTACATGCCATGCTGAGCGCGGGATAGCAGAACATTGATCCTGTTCGAAGTGCGCAGGAATCCGCACTTCATTTGATCGTTGCTGCGCACTAGTGAGATTACGACGACCTTGGCCTCTTCACCTTGGAAATTATCGACCGTAGCAAGCCGAACAGCTTGCAGAAGCTTGCCTTTGCTCACAGACGGTCGACGCATCGCGGCTTCTGCTGAAGCAGGCAGTGCTTCTTCTTCTTCTTCTTCAGACTCCTCATGTGCAAGGTCTTCAGCGTCACGTTCATTCAGGATGATCTCTGCTGAGCTGCTAAGCTGCCGCCTCAGCTTCCTCAGCTGTCCAAGATAGGGAGTGAGCACAGCGATGTCGTTTGAAGCATAAACTCCCTGCCTCTGAAGATGGCTCACCAGGGCGACAACCATGTCGACTTCCCAACGATTCGTGTGGGAAGTACTATGCAGATTATCGTTTTGAGCATCTTCTTTGTTCTTGTGGTCGAGCCAGAAGAGCCGAGGGCGTACACCACGGACGTGGGGATATTGCTGGACGGAATCTGCGTCTTGAAGATTCGGATAAAGGGTGTCGTGAACAAGGCGAGAAATGTAAGGATGCATTCGTCTCTGCGTCTCTAGTGTGACGAAGGGTAATGGCTGAGCGCCTTGGACGCGCGGATGGACTAGTCTCTCGAAAAGAGATACATCCAAAGCAATCCGACTTCGTGGGTTGTCAACTGACAGCTCATAGTTTTGAACCTTAGGCCGCAATTGCTGATGGTCGCCGATCAATATGGCATGCTCGAGAGAAGGCAGCATTGCTGTGAGTAGGTGAGCTTCAAGCACCTCGCCTGCTTCTTCAACAACGAGAATTTTCGAGTTGAGCTTGCGAAGATGCTGGAGGTTGCGAGCCAAGCCAGTAGTGGTAACGCCGATGACACTTGCATCAGCAAGAATTCGCAAGTCAACACTACCAAGAAGCGATACTATGGTAGAGTTGTCCTCGTTGAAAGCTGTTAGATGCACCTTAAGGTCCTGATGAATGCTGCTGGTCATGGTGTCAAGCCAGAAACGATGCAGAGTCTGTCGCTCTCTCGGACTCATCTGAGCGAGTGGTATTAAACCATTCTGAAGATCTGCGAGGGGCAGGTCTCCTGTTGGGTGCTTAATTGGTCCGGCTTGGAGCCACTGCTGCAAAGGTGATCGTGACCTGTCATGCGTGACCTTGGTCCAACCATCCTCCACGTCGAATTGCATCACTTCAGTATGAATTTGTGGATAATTCTTGGCGAGGAAGGACATTGTCTCGTCGTCACTACTAAGCATTCGGTCCAAGCGCGAGAGTGCGGATCCAATGACCTGACTACTCTCCTTGATTGACTCCTTAGCTCTGCCCCAAGAGTGGCCCTCAACCTTTGTGAGACTGGAGTTCCGGGCGACATTGCGTATGTTGACCGCAGCAAGCCTCTCGCTCTTTGAGCCCGAGCCAATACGTATGAGTTGTTTGACACCAGCGTCGACCAGATGCTCGAGAAGTTGATCAAGCGCATGGTTAGTGTAGCAGACACAGATGATCGGGCCAAGCTTGGCCTCACGCTTGTTGTCCAGAAGTGTTTGGATGAGTTTGACTCCAGTGAACGACTTTCCGGTGCCAGGAGGTCCCTGAATGAGCGTGAATGAGTTCTCAAGTGCATGCTTCACCGCCTTCCGCTGCGCATCGTCAAGTATACTTCTGTCGATAAGTGCCTGTGGCACTCGCTCTCCGCCCGAATTCTGCTGCAGATCGTCACGCTCATCGTCGGACAAGAGACTGCGAAGGTCGAACTTAAACCCATTCCTGAGCGAGTACGCAGGCGGTGGTAAGCTGATTTGGTTCTGGGTCGGGAGCAGAATCTCGGCGAATGGCAGATCGAGCGTATTGGCCATGCTTTGGAGCGCTTTGAGTGTTGGCTCGAATGCGGGCAGTATGACACCAGGAAATTCAATGATGCTGCGCGCGGCTACGGCTTGCGTGGTGCAACGAGAGAGAAAACGGGTGGTTTGGCCCGGATCCGAGCCAGGGACCTGCGCAATGACATATGCTCGCAACGGGTCAGATGCTAACGAGTACCGTGATCGAACCTTCTTGCTGTCGCGGTCTGACCCAATAACCACCAAGAATGTGGCTTCGCCTGCAGTGGAGAGAAGGCATATCAGAGACTCAGAGCCCAGCCTGCGAGATTCCTTCCACCATTCCTGCCGGAAGGTGACAGATTTGCCTTTGAGATTCTGTGGCTGGTCAAAAGAGAAGAGGAACATCAGACCTTTCTGATCATTGAAGAAGACATCTTCCAACATGACATTATTGTAGGAGTAGACGCGGGCACCTTGTCCTTCCGAGCTGATGGTAGCAAGCGGATTCTGGAGTCGCTCGAGTTGGACTCTGGCGGCATCTCTCAGTTGGCCAACGGTATCCTCGCGAACCAGGCGGAATTGACGATCAATTAGACCTGGCAATCCATCGATGTGCCAGTCACTCGGGTTCTCGCGTGGCAAATATTCCGACCTGGGACTAATCACCTCTTCAATGGTGGGTAATATCTGAATGTCGCGGATGTCGGGAAAGTCGTTGTCATGACGCGGGCCTTGAGATGACAGCTCTCCTGGCATGTCTTGAGCAAGCGTAAATGTTGGCTTGATGTCATTCGTCTTGGTGGCGGCAACCTTTGAGACGAGTTCTGGAATTTCGAAGCCAAGCTCAAGAGCAGTCTTGATCGTTCGCAGATGTCTTGTCGTAGCGCGATCAAGCTTGGAAAGATCGAGCAGAGCAACAAGAACCTCAGCAGCCGCGCAAATCTCCTCATTGACTTTGGCACTGCTGTTCTTTTCTAGCATCAGGGCCAGCACTGCGATGGAAATTCCCAACTCATCTTCAGCAACGCCAGCGACCAAGTGGCGAGCCACGGCTTTGAACACATTTGCACCCTGTCGTCCAGAAACGCCGTATAAGTCGTTGAGTAAGGTGGCATGGCGAACTTCGAGGACAGACGACTGCAGGACGTTGTCATGCGACAGGACCTTGAAGTATGGAAGGAGCAGCTTTTCCCAAGTGGCGGCGAGTCTGTCATCCGATAGAGTATCGTAGGGGCGGTCCAGAAGCTCGCGCATCCGAATGAGTCCAGCGTCGGTGGCGAGATCGGAGATGACGCGCTGCAGGTTCTCATAGCTGCTTTCGATAAGTTGGAGGGTCTGGTCCAGAAAGGTTGCCAGGGCACCGTCGCCAAGTGGTGTGCTACGAAGCCTGTCGCTCTGCTTGGGGATGGAGAAGCGCCAGGTCTTGAGCAATGGGTGGATGTCGGCGGTCCGTGGGCGATGGCGAGCGTCACCTTGCGACGTCTCCTTGCCCGTGGCTTCGTGGGAGAAGCGACAAGCGTCACCGAAGCGACACTTGCCTGCCGCGAAGTATCTGCACGGCTGCTTCGCCATGGTGTGTTGAGTGCAGATGAGCAGCCTTTGCCGAATGCTTTGATGGCGTTGATGTGTTGGTGAGTCTGTCTGTGTGAGTTCACCGCGCTAAATTCCCGTACGCCGTTCTCTTTCAAGCTTGAGACAAACGGCGGCGGCGTTGACGCGTGTTGACTTGCGTCATGAGCTGTCAGTAGGAGAAATGATTGAAGCCAGAAGTCAATATGACAGTGTCACCTTCAGACGGCGGGAATTGGCCCCCCAATTTTCACGATACGTTGCGTCCTTCCACGAAGCCCATGATTTGGGACTTTCGAGATGCCGCAGGAAGTGTGAAGCTCATCGTGCGCATTACACTATACTAACATGCAGGCCATCTGCAAGATTCAAACGGCTCACGGCTCATTGCGTGATGGACAGGGTGAAATGAACGCGAAGGCCGCGGTCGCTGGACTACGACATGCCGCCGAACAGCGCATCTCGCGTATTGGATAGCAAACGATTCACACCGACTATAACGGGTATCGGTATGTACGTTTGGGGGGAAAAGAGGTTGCGTGAAGCTTCAGAGTGAAAGAGGGAGGGAGAAGCATCGCGTGAAGTTCTGACGCCGTTTCGTCTCGACAGGGATACATCCGCTAGCGTCCGTTGCCGGATGACCAATGTGCTTCTCTCACATCGTTATGTACTACGCAGTACAGCTATCATGACAATCACCAGTCCTCTTCCACCTTTGCTGAGCAGCCTGCTCCGCCAATGAATTCTCTCGCCTCGTCCTGACTGTGGACAATCTTGGGATGCTTCTCCTTGCCCTCCGGATCCCATCTCAAAACGCCGGAGGGATCAATTGCCACGACACTTCGCTCATCTGCAAGCAGTCGGTTGATATCCTCGTGAATCACTCGTCGCGCGACTTTGTTGAGAGAGAAGACATCGCGAAAGGAAAGCACTACGGCGCAGGCATCCGCATATGCACCCGAGCCTGGATCGTTGGCATCCGGGGCTCCCAGATTCCTCGTCAACGTGCGCGTCAAGATCTCAGAGCCAGCGAACCGGACGGCTCCTCTCAGGTGGAAAATCGCAACGCGGCATTTGCTATTCGGGTGCTGGTCGTTGACAGTGTTCAGCGTGGCCACGGCCGTGTTCACAGTAGAGCGAGCGATCTGACTGACGTCCATCATATGGAGACCCATGTCTCGTGAAAGCTGCTCACATATGTTGACCCCACGTACGCTGTTCCCCTTCTCGTCGAGCTTAGGCGAGAATGCGGCCAGACCGACTTGACCAGGTAGGGCACCAAGAATGCCTCCAGCCACACCTGAAAGTAGCAATGTAACGGTCAGCACCTATCTCCAATATCATCGCAAACCGCTTGAGAATCGTCATGACTTTACCACTCTTGGCAGGAATGCCAACATTAGACACCCAATCACCCGCGGCATCGTACATCCCGCAAGTGGTCATGACCGACAACACCTGCCGCACGCTGTCGCGAGGAAAGATTCGTTCGTTGGTGATCGGTTGATAGCCCGCATTGCTCAATGTCGCAGCCATGAGAGCGAGATCTCGGACAGTGACATTGATGGAGCATTGGCGAATGTAGCCCTTCACAGCTTCGCGGGGATCGCAACGAATAATGCCAGCCGCCTTTAGCATGTGAGCCAGTCCCATGTTGCGGTCCCAGTCCTTGAGCTCAGCCTCGTAGACCTCCTCGCATACCGCGAGCTGTCTGCCAGCCAGTCTCGACATGACCTTGAGAATCCGATCTGTACGCTGTTCGGCAGTCGCATCGGGACCGACGACCAGCGAGTGGGCCGTAATGGCGCCGGCATTGATCATTGGATTCATCGGACGATTGCTATCTTTGTGAAGTGATAGCTCGTTGAACGCATCACCTGAAGGCTCCACTCCGATCTTCTTCAGCACGGCCTGTAGTCCCGCATCCTCAATGGCGAGGGCATACACGAACGCTTTAGAGATGGATTGGATTGAGAACTCGACTTCGTCATCTCCTGCGCTGTACACCGTGCCATCCACCATGGCGATAGCTACCGCAAGCCGAGATGTGTCGGCTCGTGCGAGCACGTCAATGTAGCCTGCCGGAGCACCGGAGTCATCTGGACGGGCATGGTCGAGCACGCGATTCAGGTAGTCGGGAATTGGTGACTTCATGGCTGGAGCATGGGAGACAGGTTCTCATGCTTCCAGAAGATGGGATCTGTGTTTCTCCTCTTACACTTCTGCAGTCTCACGAAATTCTTGGTTAGCTTCTTAGGTTGCATCGTGCCAAGGCCTTAGTACTGCACAGAAATCTCAGCTTTCCATCTTACGATTAGTCAGGAGCCAAGTCAGTGAGAGCTGACGGGAACAAGACGAGTTCATCAGGCCAACTCCCTGTCCATCCAATGACCGTTAGGAAAATACTACCATGCAGAAGGCGGTTTTCACGCCAAGACGTACAGTAGGTGAGTGTATGCGAAGTCGCGACGATAGCCTATATAATAGGATGAGCGCGACTGCATCCTTCAAAAAATGGATTCCTAGGGATCGCGGACGAGGGCCGAGCAGACATATGAGCCTCCGTCACCGTCCGATTCAGCGCCATGCTTTCTTCAATGCCGAGGAATGATAGAAAATATGCTGTGTTGCACACCTTGGTCTTGGCTGATCCAAGGCTCTCCCATTCTTGCATCATGACTTTATGCAGGCATACGTTTCCATGACCATACACCGCGTCACTTGAGCTTCACACAGCCATACAAAGAAGCCGCTTGATCTTGCTTGCTTCGACCTAGAACAAATCACCAACCATCCCAATCAATCCACCTCCAAACAATCAAAAAGAAGAGCACCCACAATCACACAATGCCCGAAAAAGTCCTCGACCCCACCCAAGACCCATCGGTCACCAAACAATACGACACCCAAACCTCCCCCGAAGAGAAATTCCAAGACTTCTACACAATCGCCGACAACCTCGGAGTCTGCATGCTAGGAACCCACCGCCCAAACATCGGTCCCGTCGCACGTTCCATGGCTATAGCAAAACGCTCCGGCCCCGACTTCTTATTCCTAGCCAACACCCACTCGCAAAAATTCCGCGACCTGGAAGCCTCCCCACAAGCACAGGTGATCTTCCAAGACTCGAAAACTCAAGACTGGATCTCCGTGTCCGGGGAAGCGACGACGATGAGTACTTCCGATCCGAGGATCCAGGAGATTTGGACGAAGGGGGTTTCGGCTTGGTTTGGGGATGTTGGGGATGGGGTTCATGATGGGGGACCGCGGGATCCGAGGATGGGGTTGATTGTGGTTAAGAGTAGGTATGTTAGTTATTGGAAACATGAGACGGGGGTGTTGGGGTTTATGAAGGAGGTGGGGGCTGCGAGTTTGACGGGAACGGTTGCGAAGACGGGGTGTTTGAGGGAGATGCATGAGAGTGAGATTCAGAGTGCGAGGCAGAGGGATAGTGCTTTGACGAGTTAGGGAGGAGTGTGTGGAAGTGTATCGTGGTTTTGGATGTTTGTAAGACGTAGCAAGAGATGATGTTACTTTTGTCGAATCGGTTCCATGTAATGCTTCACCTGTTTCCCGATTGGGAAGTGCATCGAGAAATTTTGAAGCTGAACACTAGTGCATCGAGTTAAGCGAGCACGCGATCATATTTCAGGGTATGTGTAATGTGGTAAAGTTGTGGAGACAGTTACCAACTAGTCTTGCCAGCTCACAAACATTGGTCTCTATGTCGTTGCCCAGTGGGCGATTCCACTGCTACGCAAGAGCCAAACGGTCTCGCCATCGCTCACAGTGACCAGCAGCGAAGCGCACTTGTCTCACGCGGGCTGCCCGAGAATCCGACCCCAGTACTCCTATCGCTGTCGGCAGTCAAAGCATTCCAGCAGAACATTGTCCACTCGCTGCGTGCTGTGTTTGCGGGCAGATACTTGCATTCTTTGAGCGGCCAAGAGAGCAATGGAATTCCGATATTGTGATATCGCCATGACGAGATAAAAAAAAACCCAAGGCATGATGTCAAAAAGAATCATGCTCCATGTACCTTATGCTTCATCTAGTAACATCTCGCTTTAGCATACTAAGTATCTTGTTCGGATCAATCGCGTCACTGTTCGATGGCTCCGATTCCTGCTTGAACCCGCGAGTAAAGCCAGCTCTCTCCACTGTCGTGCGAAATGCATCGTGCGATTCCTTGTCTTCTTCTTTGCGAGCGCCAAGGTATGCATCTTCGAGAATGTACCCCGGAGGCAGCGACTTAGATGCTTGTGGTAGAACATAGATCGTCGGGAATTCCAGCACCGTCTTGTCTCGCAACATTGCCGTGAGCGTTGTATCCGCGTCTAGCGGAATGAGCACTTTGTTGGAAGAGCTGGTACCGGGTCTTAGTAGGTAAAAGTGTTGCTGTATCGCGGAACTGCCAGATCCTTGTTCACCATCTGCTGTGGCCCCTGCACCAATATTCAATTTGGCGCTTGCTGACTCTTCTTCGATTACCGACTCGACGTCACCGTTCGGCTGAGGCTCAGTTGGTGCTGTCTCTGTTTGCTGTTCGGTCTCGGCAAATTTCTTCCTTTCGAGACGCCGCCGCTTGGATGCTGCCCGCTCACTCTCTCCATTGGAGGCGTGGTGCTGTCGAAGTTGAGTGCCAGCATACAGGTTTCGAAGCTTGTCCGACTCCAAGCAATCGTTAGAAATGTTGCTTTGTCCATCGGCATCGATCCACTCCACGGTCCACAGGATATGGTTTCGCTTCGAGGCTCGGGTCTGGTTGGACTTCTGGCGACTCATTCCAGTGGGTGCGCGATGCATGGCTATACGATTAGCAGCCAGATATTTCTGGACGATACTTTCTGGATGGTTCCCTCGAAAGACTCGGTGGTGTGCAGCATTTTTGCCAATGCCGCGATCGGAAGCTTCTCTGCTGGCAACGTCGATGCTGCGCTCTACACCTTTGAGATAGTTGTAATCTCGATCTACTCCGGCAGGCGTTGCAAGCTGACTCTTCTTCACGAATTCGGCTGGGTTGCGCACTCCACTGCATGACGCTCGCTGTTTGTGCTTCTTGCTACACGGCAACGAGCAGGTCTGCGTCTTGCATCGCGGACAGCGATATTTGGGTTTATTGGTGTAACTACAACCGTCAGTACTATGCGAATGGATCAAAAGATAATGCTGTCGTTGATCACGATGGCCTTGCAAGTGCACGACATCAGAAAGCAGGCGTTGCAGTCTTCACCAGACGCCACTGCCTTGGACCTGCAATGCCTTTGCCGTAGACTCCATGTTTGATGCCTCACCGGTACCGCACGTGATCAAATGAGTCTGGCACGTCGCATACCCCTCTCGTTCTCCTCGGCGCCTGAGAGAGGGCATCTCAGGAGAGGCGGCTCCTGTGATGTTCCTTTTCAGGATTGCAGTCTCGACCAATACGGTGTGGCAAAAATGAAGGAGATGGGGAAAATCTGACCTACCAGATGCTGCATAGGCCGGTCAGGAGTGTATGGCTCGACATGATGGTTGCGTGCTCCGGCGAATACTTGCGGGGTGGCGATGACTCTGGAGCAATGATGGTGTGGTGAATGAGTCGGTATGCTTCGGTCTCTCAAATCGTCTGGGCAGGAAGTGTGGTGATGTAAGGCGTCATGTGATTGGACGTGCTGGCTGGGGTGCGGGAACAACGAAAGGAAATTTTGGAGAGGGCTCGGCGGTGGTGCAGCAGGCACCGACGCACCGTACCTCCGCTGTTACAGACGGCGTTGAGCAGCTGTTTGATCGGCCGGATCGGCGGTTCCCGTCATCAGCTCGCGTTCGAGACTTGCGCTGCTGCCGTGATCGGGACGTCCTGAGTCGTGAACAACTGCAAGTGTGCCCAAGCGAGCGTCGTGCCTGCCTGGTTGGAGAGATCAGACGGGCATCGAGGGATGATTCGAGGGAATATGGATATGTGGATGGACATGCTCCAGTGCGCGCGTTGGCGTGCCGCGTGCAGGATTCCGCGCGAGCGACACGCCACGTGACGCCAGCACCACTTTGGCACTTTCGCGAAACGGCATCGGAAACGGAAACGGAAACGGAGATTTGCTTGCACGGGCGCGGTGGGCACTGGGCAGGCTGGAGTGTGTGGACAGTTCACAGTGGACTGGGTATGACTGGCACCAACGATCATCGATCGATAAAAAAGACATGTCAGTCGCTGTCAATGTTAATCGATGATCCACTTTCCACTTTCGACCGGCCGTTCATCGCCACTGGGAGCAGCTGCAGTACAGTATTGATGCGCCAGGCACCGAAAGCGAATATGCACTACGGCAGTACTGCTCCCATGCAGTTGTGCATATCGATCATCGAAGCTGTGCGAAGTGAGCGAACGCAGAAGGCCGGCACCTCCAACAACAAATCCAAAAGCTGCCCTGCCCTGCCCTGCCCTGCCCTGTTCATCAATGTGGCGCCCCTGGCCCTTGCAGCTTGCCAATGCGATTCAGGACGCGCGCGGGCAGAGGCACTTGCACTTGCCACCGCACCCAACGCAGGCCAGGCCAGGCCAGGCCAGGCACATCCTATCGTGAGAACCAGAGAAATCTTCTCCGCACCTCTTCATCAAACTGATCAGTCAGCTGATATCGCTGGATGAGCAAGCTTTAGCACTATCTACTTTGTTGCCCGACTTCGCTCAATGCGGAGCGACACCACGCCGTCGTAAGCCGTCATCCCTGCATGTTTCATGAACTCACACACGCTTGATTTCACGCTAGACCTCGTCCTGCATATCCGCTTAAGCCGTTGGAGGAAGAGCCCAGGGGCACGACGCATCAAGCTTCGGCGAGGGCATGTCGAGCATGTCGAGCTGGGCATCTGGGCAGAGCATCGTGTCGTGCTACTTTGCCTCTCATCTTCCGCTCCGTCCTCTCACCTAACTTAACCTGCTGTTTCGTCCATCGTGACCGACTTACACGCCCACCTTCAGCGTGTCGTCGTACGCTCGTGGGCAGCAGGCCGGCATCCTGTCCATTCCCCCAGTGCCGCCAGAGCGCAATCGTGCCTCACCAACGCCAGCCAACGAGCTACTACTGCACTGCACTGGGCAACCGGCGGCAGACCACCGCCACCTTCAACTCGCCATCGCTCTGTGGGCAGCTCGACTACCACCACATCCCCATCATGGCGCCCTCCTTTCACTCTGCAGCCGCACGCCCGCGCTCCAACGAGTCTGCTCGTCCTCCAACCCGCGGTGACGACAACAATCTGGAGATCCCCAACCGCACCTCCTCCCTGCACTCGCGCATCGCGCAGCCAATTCCGAGCACAATGCCTCCGGCCAAGACTGGCTCGCGCGCTCCCAAGACATTGACGCACGCATACATGGTATGCGGTGTGGGACGAGAGCCATCGCAATGGGTGAAGGCACCCGCTCCGACCCACGGCAAAATCGGCCACATGAAGGCTTCGGTCGGTCAGTTCTGGCTTCCAGAGATTCTTGGAAGCAGCCCTCGATTGGAGCAAGATAATGAAATCGCCAGATCACTCCATGCTGCAATGAGAGTAAGTTCATCATTCCACCACGCATCTCATTTCCGCCAATGCTGACCAGGATCAGGCATGTTTCCCCCATGATGTCGAGATATGTACGGGCGCAAGCCAACCTCACTGTGTGCACCACGCATTTGTCCTGCAGCAGGATTCCTCGCACACTCTCTATGGCATCGCACTCAGGGTTTGGTCGCGTGCCGACGAGAAGCGTGCGGAGACCATCCGAGATCTGCGCAAGCGCACGGAACCTGACTACTATGACACTCCCGGCGAGACCTACTGGATTCCATACTGCTTGTCCTTCCTCTCGCGTTATCCATTGTACAATTTACTGGGTGACTACCTGCGAGGCATGTGGATTCACTGGAACAAGGCCACCAATTTGTTCCACGCAGAGGAAGTTTCCAGGATATTGAGCTTTCCCGCTCCACGCCTGAACGATCTGGTTCGCATTGACATGAAGGATTATGCGCTCTGCTACCAGTTCCCTGCCTCCCCAACTGGTTTCCAGAACTTTGCAATGTGGCCTCTGTTCAGCTGTCTTTCAATCCCCAATATCCTAGGCGTTTTGGAGGCTGCCGTGTCGCCAACCAGAAGGATCATCTTCATTTCGCACTACCCTGCCATGTTGACCGTGGCTACCGAGACTGTCCGCTTCATGGTTCGCGTCTACGAATGGAGTGGCCTGTACGTCCCTGTCGTGCACGCCCGCCATGCAAAGGAGCTAGTGCAGGAACCTGGACCTTATATCCTGGGCGTGACTGCCGAGTGCCGAACATTGTTCACAGCGCCATCGGATGCTTTGGTGGTCGACCTCGACCGGAATTTCGTACTCACATCCAGTCCGCCAAACGCCTGGTCAGCTAAGCAGAGGTCCAAACTCATCAACCGGATGACCCAGGCCCTCAATGGCGATGTTGTGCCCTCCGGTGTGCCGCAGCACCTCCGCTCTGCCTACGGCGGTGGCAAACTCATCCCGGCTGGTCAAATCATTGTCATGCGCGGCGAAGTGGAGAGCGTGCAAGATCCAGGCTGGTGGAACCAGGAAGAGCTCATGAGAGTCATGGATCGTGCTTGCGAGAAGCTGGTAAGTGGTCTACGAGTGCCGGCAACCCAATATCTCAAGTACTAATGCGGGCACAGGGCAAGAACAGCGGACTCAAGTCGGTCTTCGGCGGATCTCAGAAGAAGCCTCTCATGACCAAGGTTTCTATGAGACACCTCAACGAGATCGTTCGTGAGAGGAACCAGTACTCTCGTGACGCGATGGAGGCATGGCAAGACTTCATCAATTTGAAGGGCCGCATGGACACCGAGCTCGCCAAGGTCACGAAGCGTAATAACTTTTTGGTCGAGGAATTGGAAAGCTGGAAGCAGCAGTTCTTGAAATTCCAAGCATTTGCCGAACAGCTGACGAAGGAAACGAACGACCTCAAGGTGAAGATCGAGAACCACAAGCGCGAGAACCGCCGCCTCACCAGCATGATCGATCAGCAGAAAGACGATGCTGCGCGGCTCACAGTCCGCCTCTCCGGAACCGAGAAGCAAAGAGACGACGCGCTCGAGGCACTCGTTTTGCAGCAGGAAATCGCAGAAGAGCTGGAGCGAGAGCGGAAGAGAAACAAGAAGGACCTTTCGGCGCTGCAGCACACCAATGCTACCCTCCTCCGACAACGCGACGAGGCACAGCGCGTCGTGTTGCACCTTCGTGCGCTCATCGACGGACAAGCTCACCACATGGAGCACATCGTCAAGTCGCTCAACGACGCTCCAGAAACTGCCGAATTCGTCGACGCTGATGAGGAACTCGAGGGAGACAAGTCGCCTGTCAAGGATGAGAACGAAGTCGGCCTCAATCGTGGTATTGGTGGAATGGGTGGTTCCAGAGGGTCCTCCAGGGCAAGCACGCGTCTGTCACAGTATGGTCGCATTGATGGTGAGGACATCTCTTCAGCCATGGAGCCTCGCCTTTACTCCACTTCGGCTCCCCGCAAGCGCTTTTCTGAACTCAGCTTGACTGATGTCGCAGATCGCCATCTCCGCGACAAGACGGAGTCGATCGCCTACATCATTCGCAACATCTCAGAGCAGTGCGCCGCTGCCGTCGAAGGTCTCGACCTCGCACGACGCGCCGATACTTCGAGCGCCACCAGCGAAGGAGGCGACGACGATGACAGGCCCGAGTCCAAGAAGAAGCGCGGCAAGAGACCGGCGAAGAACCTCACGCCCGTTTCCGTGGACGGCGACCATGACAACGACCAGGCCAGCGTGGGGTCTGAGTCCGAATACGGCGATGGCAAGAGCGAGGGCACTGGTAGCTACCTACATCCGAAGCGCGTGTCTGGCACATCTTCGACATCCGGCACTTCCAACGTGCCACCAACACCAGACCTTGTACACGACCGCAGCTCCACCAGCATGAGCTCAGTGAGCGAGAGCACTGCCGCAACACCACAGCGGTCGAGCTTGAACAGCGTATACAAGAACCAAGATGTCCCCGAGGTGCCAACCCACATTGCCGATCAAGAAGAGATCGATGTCGGTCACCGTCTGGAGGAGATTGTCGAGGAGCCTGTCACCAAGTTCATTCCTCAAGGTCTTGAGCACCGACGAAGCCCGCAGGAAACGGCGTGACTCCTTAAACCGCGGTCGTCTCGCGGTCGCTTCCCAGTCGTTACGATCTTGAATTAATTGATTGTGGACATTTACTGCCAGAAAAGCAGGATCTTGCATGGCGTTGAACAGGAGCTGAACGGGGTTTTACGAGAATCATCTTGGTGCCATGTCTGTCTTTGCCGGACACCGAGACGCTTGCACGCTTTTGTTTTGTTGTTTCTAAGCTGAGATACTCCCTTTTGCTTGTGCTTTGCCGAGACACCGGCAACATCTTTGTAACGTCACTCGTTCTCACGGCCTGAAACTATCTAATACTATGATCTGGTGGAGGTGGAGGAGATGTGTACGATCGTATGTTCGGCGATGTAGTTCAGATAGCAGTCTGCTGTTTGTATCAACGCTGTCACGCGAGGAAAGTGCATGCTGCTCACCGAGCCGTCGCGGCTTCCGCAATCATTCACCATCAGTCACGCTAACCAGAACTCGGCAGCAATCTCCGCGGACCTCAGACTTCCGCTCCTGATCCTTCGCCATTCCTTACGGGCGGGCCTTCGACGCCATGGACGCGGTCTTGCACTGCAACGACCTCACCTGTCGTGCCAACGTCCCCGACCAGGCAGTCGTCACTACCTGCAGCCACATCTTCTGCATTCCATGTGCCAACCGATTGGGTCTTTCGGAACCGCAGGATGGCCAGAGACGATGTCCGGCTTGCAAGACTGACCTCACCAATCCTGACGATGCGGTCATCACCTCGCTGAACCCGACCGAGGACTACAAGACCAGTATTTTGAGCGGCCTGTCGCCGACGATCATCATGGAGTGCGCGGGACGAGGTCTCGGCTTTTGGGCATATCAAATGGCCCAGGAGATCACGTATCAGCAGTACCTGGCCACAAGTCTCGCTGATCGCTGGAACCAGCTCAATACTCAGATGCAGAATGTAGCTGACAAGGAGAAGGATGAGAATAAGCGCCTGCGGCAACGCCTCGATGGTCCGTACTCATCTCCAGCTACGCGAATGCTGCTAACCCCTCGACAGCATTGCATGCTGAGAATGCCAATTTGATGGAGAACAATGCGGCTCTGGATCGCTCGTACAAGGAAAAGGCCAAAGCTCAACACCAAATCAACAACCTCTACCAGAAGCTCAAGGCGCAGCAGCTGGCCGCCGGGCTCGAAGTGGCTGCTGAGAACGATGCTGACAATGTACTTGCACATGCGAACCAGCAGACACGAATCTCCGCTGCTCAGCGCCCTACCAAGAACGTGCATGCCCGCGACTTCAGTGATGGGAGTGGAGGCAGTGAAGAGCGCCGTAATCGCCATCGTGACTATACTTGGTCTCAGAACAACGCCTCTCAGGGGTATCAAGTGAGCGCTGCACCACGTAACTCTGGGACTTCTCGTAAGTGATAAAGGCACTATTGGACCAAGAATGATACTGACGCCATCGATAGATAGCCTTCCCATGAGTGGATCTCAGCAGCAATCGAATCGACAGCGTTTACCACAGCCGGCGTTCGGCTCTTACAACTCGACATTTCTCGGCGGTACTGGACTGGGCAATGCAGGTCTGCGGCAAGGCACAGTGCAGCGAGGACCTTATGGCAACAGTCAAGGCCACGGGCAGTCCGGCTACGATGATGAGAATGTATCCAATAGTCGCTACGGCGCCGGCGGTATGGGCGGCATGAGTGCCGGAGTGAGGGCCGGACGACCACCAGGAGCAATCCCTCTGAGTCGTGCTGGCGGAGTGGGACCTATGCGCCCGGGCGGCTATCCTGGTATGCGCATGGGATGAGCTTCGCTTCGGGCCAAACGAGCCAAACGAGCCAAACAAGAAACAGGTCTAGACCATTCACTTCCTTTCGGTCACTCTCGACATTGGTGAAGCCTTCAAGAGCCTTGCACTCTCGAGAGTGTGCTAGGAGAAGAAGAATTTGTAATCACCCGCACTTGATAGATCAAACTTGACTTCCACGTGTCTAGAATTTGCCGGTTCGTAACCTGGTGAGTGAGTCCTCGAACTTCGATCTCCCACCATTGGAATCCATAAGGTCAGTTCCACGAAGCAATGCCATTCAGCCCGGC